AAATTTTTATTTTATTTTCTTATTATTATAGACTAACGTCTATATCATATCTTTTAGGACAGGAAAATGAATCATGGAGGTATGGTTACCATGGTGACGACGGACATTCTTTTTGTTCGGGAAGTGGCGAGCCATATGATTTACCACTGATATAATTGGATGCAATCTAAATTTTAAAAATAAGATAGTATTTATACTAAAAATGGAATTAACTTAGGTAACTAACATTTTGAATTAAAAGTTATATTTTTTAAAATAAATAGACAGAAATTTAATAATTATAAAATATTTTAAGGAATTGCGTGCCATCTACATAGCAATAATTTCAAAGGCATTCTATATCCTTGTATTGGATTTAGATCACAAGGCGCGTCAGTAGAAGTGAATTTCGGCAGAAAAAAATTTAAATATTCTGGTAAATTTATTCAAAAAGTTTAATCATTTTTTGCTTATTAAAATTTTTAATATTATCTCAATTGACTGCAATGACTAATGAAGATATCAACGTATTTCAATTGACGGCAATAACTAATGAAGACATCAACGAACGCCAATGGCGTCCCTTAGCGACACTACTAGAGGGTTTCAAAGGGTTTCAAAAAAAATAAAAATAAAAAAAAGAAAGATAAAGACATTAGCAAAAAAACAAATAATGCATTAACATTGGAATATCAAGAAAAGGATTATTTTATTATGGGTGGATATGAAAATACGGAGTCCGTATCATTTCATAGAAGTTTATTTTACAGACAATCATTTCACAGACAAGTTTATTTTAAAGACAATTATTTTATAGACAGTTTATTTCATTGACAGTTCATTTTGTAGACAAATTTATTTCATAAATAATTAAGTAATAGACAGTTTATTTCAAAGACAGTTTATTTCAAAGACAAGTTTATTTTAAAGACAGTTTATCCCAAAGACAAGTTTATTTTAAAAACAGTTTATTTTTAAAGACAAGATTATTTTAAAAGCGGTTTATTTCAAAGACAGGTTTTTTAAAACCGAGTTATTTTAAAAATAGATTATTTCAAGATAAGTTTATTTTAAAAATAAAAATTGCCGAATTTTTTTATATGGCTTTGGCCTCACTTTTGTAAAAACATCCATCTTGCCTCATAATGCATTTGAAAGAAATCTGTTAATGGACGTTATAAGGCCATATAAAGTTAATTTTTTGGTTCTCATAATATAAAACAAAAAAAAAACTCTGCTATTCTCACAGCAATAAGAATAATTATACCCTTGATATCTCACAACTAGTTGATCATGAATTATGATGTCATGTTACGACATTAATCATTTACAAATTTTGCACACAACTATTTTTCACACAACCACCCACGGTGTATTCTCAATCATAACTATTCAAAATTTCCCATGATATATCAATGTACGTAATTCTTTGTACTAGTAGCTTCACACAAACGCAGAATGATGAATTTTGACGTACTGTAATTTTTACATAATAAGTCGTACTGTTTATTCTCACACCAGCATGACTTGAATTACATATAGACACATGATACCGTGTCGATATAATTGCTATAATGGAAAAATGAAAACCATTACTTACACCAAAAAAGGATTTTGCAAAAATCAGCATAGCGAACAGCTCCCTCCCACATTTCATGTTACACGTTCAACGTGGTATAATGTGAATATTAATACGTATGATATTAATATCAATATCTAATTAGAAAAAACGGCAAGGATTATGAGGAAATTTTTACGTATGAAAACCCGACAATCTAAAAATAGACCACATAGATCATTATGAAATTCATAAGTGATCTCATATAATAATAATAACAATAATAATAATAATAATAATAATGATAAACGGTCTACTGCATCACAATCAAATATGGCAAGTATGAGCAAACCAAAATTATAAAGCGTCAATAATCTTTCCATATATATCGATAAATAATAATTAAATACGGTAAATCGTGGATACCTTCAAATATAAACACTTCTTCATTCGAAGTATAATAATAAAAGCAGAAATGTCAACTTCACAGAAAGTTCAATATTTGATTGACTTCATTAAAAAGCATAGTAAGATCAAAAGTGTTTATGCGACACGTCAAAAATTAGAAAAGATATTGAACGATGGTCTTGAAAACTTGCAAATTGTTTGTGGTATACTTTCAATTTTTTATTTTTTTTTTAAAAAAAAGGATGCCATTTTATTTTTGGTGAATTTTACATATAGGCCCAAAAATGAAAATAATTACAAATAAGAGCCCAAAGTGAAAATAATTACATATAAGGGCCCAAATTTTGAAAAATTTTATAATTAAGGGCCAAAATAATTTTGCGTTATTATGATAGTGGTCTTCGACGTTATAACTGTATATATGTATTGATTTACACATTTTATACTTTACCTTTCGTTTAATGAACTTTCTTTTAACCAAGAAACAATTCGACTAGGTTAAATACGATTTATATTGATATTGTAATTTTTATTCTGTTCTTAACTAATATATTTATCCTATCTTTAGACCAAACTAGTGAATCAATATTTGTGAAGGATACTATGCAGTAATCAAAGAATTTAGATTCGAAGAAGCTCATTTTTATTGTAGAGAAAGCTAAATCAATTTTAAAAATCGACAAAAGTGGTTATAATTTTTACATGAAAAGGCGTTAAGAGAATAAATGTAATGCTGATTAAAAGTAATATGTTTAAAGTCAAAAGACAATTACTAAAAATTTACAATATTATTATAATTATTTTCATTTTCGGGCCCTTATATGTAAATTCCCCTTTATTTCTTTATTTTTTGTTCCTGACAAACCTTTCAATTTTTAAAAAGATTTCGATTCTACAATGACACGTTACTTTGCTCCAAATCGTGAACGAAATCCAGATTCATATAACATATTGTCTTCAAGTTCTCGCTTGACCGAAGAAGTTTGTATGCTTAAAAACAATCGAGTATTGAATTTGAATTTAATTTAAATTTATTAACAAACTATATACATATATTTTTTTATTAAAGTTTAAGGAGGAGATGGAAAAATTATGGGAAATTATTATCCAATAGAAATAGATAAGGTATTGACAAAAGAAGAAAAAATACCTTTCATGATCGAATGGTGCGGAAAGGCTCATGACCTTTTAATAGGTCAAATATCAATAAGAAAGACGTAAAAGATATGGTAACTGAGACTCCAGTAGAATTGAGACCAGGATTGGATGTTTTAATTAGAAAGTGCAAAGATAACAATATACCATTCTTGATATTTTCAGCTGGAATTGCTAGTAATTACTTTTTTTTTTCAGATTGTTTATGTTAAATAATTTTTGGGTCCTGATATTTCCACACCCCCATGCAAATTACTCTTTTTTAAAACTTTGATTGAAGATATTTTGACAACTATTAAAATAATTAAAAAAATAATTAAAACAAATTCTATAAATTTTTTTATTTGAATTCTACTGATCTGTAGAACTCAAATAAAAAAAAATTCATCAAATTTGGTTATATTGTTGTCGAGAACCTTCGATTAAAGGTTTAAAAAAGAGTGTTCTACATGGAGGTGTGGAAATATCAGGTCCCTAATATTTATAAAAGCTTACCATTTTTGTTATCATATATCATAAGATGTCATTGAAGAAGTTCTTACCACGAGAAACCTCTATCATCGTAATAATATGCATATCATATCTAATCAAATGGGATTTAATTCAGAAACCGGAATATGTGATCATTTTAAAGTACCTCTGATTCACATATTCAACAAAAGTGAGATTATAATCAAGAACAGTCCTTATTACACTACTATCAAGAATCGTGGGAACGTTATTTTACTGGGTGATTCTATTGGTGACATCCATATGGCGGACGGAATTCAACACAATATTTGTTTAACCGTTGGCTTTTTAAATCATAATGTTGAGGATTATATAAATACTTATTTAGAAACGTTCGATATTGTTGTAGTTGATGATGGACCAATGGATACAGTAAATCATATTCTGGATGCTTGTTCTAAAGATTCTAAAATTAATAACCAGTAACGAATAATCCTTATGAATTTAAATTACTTCTTCGTGGAAGTAAGAATGGTTTTACTAAAAACACATTTTGGAATTTATGTAATAAGAAAAAATTATATTAATAGTCGTGAAAGTTAAAGGAACTGATGAAATTCTTGGTGGATATAAAAATTATTTTAGAATATGCAATGATTGATTTTTATTTTCATTCAATAATATTACGATCCAAAATCCTATTTTAAGTCGTGTAAAAAGAACAATTTGTAATACTAGTAGCTATGGATCATCAATACTGTCCAAGGCGTTAATTACTTATATGTATAAGTTTAATTTTTAATGCAACTACCTTGTAATCTTATTTTCATTTTCAATTATTAAATTTGATACACGAAAAGTAATATAATACCTTAATGACATGGTTTACAAGCATATGATATTTTGACCTTATTCACAGGGCCTAGTGTCGCGTTCTTACAATAAATTCCAAAAAGAGAAACGATACATAATACAGTATTACTTCAAACGTAAAAAAAAACCCGATGATTGATATATGATTACCTATCTGATCGAAAAACAAATTCAAGTTAACCGAAACTAGAAAGAATTGGTGATAAGTATTGATAGATTATTCCTAAAAATTGCCGATAATCGGATAATACATCAGAATCGATATAAATTCAGAACAATTTAATCAGTGAAATTTTGAGATATTGCATTTTTTTTTCATAAAAAAACACTTACTGATCCTTCGCCCTTGAGACACGCGCATATACGTATCATTCAATACGACCACTTTTTGTAATGTCCGTGCCATTTTTAGCCGTACCATCACGTAAAATGAGCCTCTATGTGCCACACATCCGTACCATTTCGTGCATTCCCGAAACCAACCCGAGCCACAACCCGGGCCACTTTTCTCATAGGATTGGAATCACGAAGCTGTAAGTAAAAAAGTTAAAGTTTAAGTAAATTTAAATAAATAAATAAATATTATTAAATTACACAATTTAAAATTTCGATATTTCTAATGTTCAAGCATTAAGGCAGATAGCATTTCAGAATGTAATTTACAAAACAACTAGAAAGTATCCAACAGTTTCACCTGCGTCAAATATTTACGCTAATAAAGGCAATCAATCAACATCTCTGAGTGCTATTTACAGATTACCGTCATGGTCAACAATCTTTTCATCTACGTCAAAACATGCAAATGACAATAGTATCGTTTTTGCTTCAAATACTGAGCCTATAACACCAATCAACATAGATAATAACTCCATTTTCTCTAGCAAAAGGTACGATTAAGCAAGATAATATTTCGTAATAGATTTCAACAAGAGGATTTAATCCAAAAACTTTTAATTGCAAACCACCGAACGTAAGCTTTGCATGCACACCTTTTATATTAATATTCTGTGAATAATTTTATTCAGTATTATAATTAATTTAGGCACGATTTTTTGTAATCAAATCTTATGCCGAATGTGAAGTTCATAAATTGATAAAGTATGCTCATATTTATTAATTCTATAGAAATTCTTTTACTTATTACGTTAATATGATTTTTATCATTATAGTATGAAATTTGGACTAGTACAGAAATCAGTAATCGCCGTTTGGATAAGGCTTTTTGGGATAAAGCAGATAAAGGTCCAATTTATTTATTTTTTAGTGTTAATGCTAGGTAAATAATATTTAATTAGCTTGATTACAGACAAATCACTTCAATTTTCTATTTATTCGAATTTTTTAATCACTCGTATTTGTTAGTTATGTTAATGGACGTTTCTGTGGTATGGCAGAAATGCTTACTCCTGTAGATTATACAAGTTCTTATTCTGTTTTGGAGAAAGACAAAGGGTGGGGTGTAGTGATGTGAGTTGGTAGCTACCGATAGCTATCTACCACTGGTAACTACCGGTAGCTACCGGTAGCTACCGTGAGGTTAATGATATAAAGTGGTATATAGTAGGTAGATGGTTAGTAGTTTATTAAATCTGATTGGTTGATTACGGCTTGCACTATATATATATAGGTAGAAGAATTAGCTAATTAGAATAAAAGTTTGCTATTCTACCGGTAGTGGTAGCTAACGGTAGCTACCACCTACCGATACATACCGGTAGGAAAATTGTAATTTGGTAGAATCTCCATCACTAGTGGGGTGTGATTAAAGTTAAATGGATTTTTGTTAAAGATATTCCCAATGGCCAGTTGAGACATATTAGAGTAGGGTACGTATTGTTAAAATTTAGCTTTTATGTGATTAATATCTAATACTCAACTAATGATTGTGTTTAATTTTGTGGGGCATATTACAGAAATAACGAAAATAAACCCATTACTAATAGTCGTGATACTCAGGAACTTTATTCTGAACCTGGTCGCAATATGGTGAAAATATTTTTCGATTATCGTAGTAAAACATCAATATTAAATGATTCTAAATTTTATGATAAACGTCAAGTAAAAATGCAAAGATTGATTGCACAACAGAGATCAGCGAGTCCTGAAGTAGTGATTCCTTAGTAACTTTGATTAATATAAATGACTTTACTATATAAATTTTCATATTATAGCAATAGCAAAGATTCACATATTTTGAATTTGCACAAATAACTATAATTAAAGTATATATGATGTGTTTAGTTTTTTTCTTCTTCAACACTAACATGTAAACTTTTTCTGGAACTTGCGTATAACTTGAATTATATGTATTTGATATAAAATAAAATTTTTTAAATATGTATTATTTTTTCATTATAAGACTATACACTATTTACTCTATGTTTGTATATATGGATTAGAGATGCGTCCATTGAGAAAGGCTAATCTTGATCTGGATCGAGAAAATCGGCGATATGGATATTAAATAGCACTAATACTACCTAAACAACACTCTAAACTACCCAACTCTATCAACCCTAATGGTGGTAGGCACGAAAGGAGGTGTGGAAGACTTGGTCCGAGTTATCAGGGCCAAATGGAGCTCTAGACTACTTCACGAAGCTCTAATTCGGGGTCTTGGGTTTTAGACTATTGATTCTCTGAGTTTGACTTATCAGGGGAATTCACAAGACAAATACTTTCAAGAATGAACTCCAACTGAGTTCTGAACTCTAAGTGAGTTATACAACTCTGAGTTTTTTTTTTATTACAATGAACAAATGTAAATCATTATTCTTACCAAAAAATGATTCTTCAAAAATAAGCATAAGCGACATCAAAAAAGTTGAATTAAACCATCCCCTACTACTAGAGATGGGCAAAGTCAGTTACATATTATTACTTAATATTACTTAATATTACCTTGAATAAGTATTATTAAGTAAT